GGGATAGAAATTGAATCTTGATGGCATAATTGAGCCAAAGTTTGATCGGTCCTTCCAGAGGCCAACTTTATTCTCAGACTTTTTATGAAAATGAGTCCTTTTTTTTTTTAAGTCTTCAAGAGCAGAGGCTCTTAAGTCCATCATGATTATAACTGTGATGTTCAATGTCCAAGGCCATTTGGCCTATTAAAAGGCCAATGGCTACACTGTCTCTATGCCAACTGTCTGCAATGCAATGTATTGCTACAGTTCCCAAGATAATAGGGTTGATGATTAGTTATCTCAGCAAACATCATTTCAGCCCTTAAAAAATTGTGCTGTGTACAAAAGGACTATCACACGGAACCCATCTACTTAAGGAACTTGTCTTTATATCCCTATTCTCAAATTATTGGAGCCACTGCTACCGTTAGGCAACTATCCTTATTTCAACCCAACAACTGTGTGAACCCCTATCTCCTCTATCCTAGGAACACCAGCCAATGTTACTCTCACATGAGAGTCTGCACAGGACTGTACAGTAGGTGCCTCACAACTTCTGTTTGGGTCAGGAAACATGGTAGGCATTAATAATCCCAGAGACCAGAAGCCCAGAACTTCCTGTAAGACAAAAGAGGAAAGTTCATTTTTATTCCTTCGGAGTCCCCTCTGGCAGGGAGTAGGAACATCAAAACCTTGGTAAAATGTCCTGCCTCATATGAAGATGGACTGAATCCCTGCACAGGGAAATTACGCACTCTTGTCAGCCTAACCTCCTTCCCCCAGTGAAGCACTGCTAAACTTGCATCATAATGTTTCTTTTATGGACGCCCAGTCCCCTGCAAGGAAGGAAGGAACAGACCCTATGTCTCTTGAGAGAAATAAGACAGTCTCCACAATGGTCTCCCTAACAAAAACTAAATATGTCCTTGTGCCCTAGTAGAATAGCCCAATATACACACTGATTCAGGGCCAATGGAGGTTCTAGAACAGCCGTGGGCAAACTATGGCCCGCAGGCCGGAATCCGGCCCATTTGAAATGAATAAAACTAAAAAAAAAAAAAAAAAAAAAAAAAAGACCATACCCTTTTATGTAATGATGTTTACTTTGAATTTATATTAGTTCACACAAACACTCCATCCATGCTTTTGTCCTGGCCCTCTGGTCCAGTTTAAGAACCCATTGTGGCCCTTGAGTCAAAAAGTTTGCCCACCCCTGTTAGAAGTAGGGATTCAAGAGAAGGATTCATAGCCTGGTCTTTTGCACTGAGACTGCAGAATGGGTCATAGTTTTCAGTGTTAATCTCTCTGAAGGCTGCCTCAAGGAATCTGATTTTCTTAGGCACCACCTGGCCCCAGAGATATTCACAATACATAAAGTTGGGATCTAGGGTCCCCAGGCCCAGCACAGATGAAGGTACCAGTTCGTTCATGCATTTTGTTTGCCCTGATATTAGGTCAGGGTGTGAGCATGAGATTGTAAAAAATGTGGTAGTGCATTCCCATTGAATATTAGTGACAGTTCTTCAGGTGCCACGCTATATCATGTAAATGACACTCCCCCCCCCAAAAAAAAAAAAATATGTAACACTGATCCATGAGTGTGGGCACAAAGCACATGAAATGTTATTCTAGAGAAATTGATCCTCATCTCTCCAATCATTTTCTCAACTAACATACTTTCCTGCTTTCTATAGTGGTCCTGTTTTCCCATAGGAACAAAAGTCTGAGAAAACGGAAAAAAGTCCTAGAAGCAGAGCAAGGGTTTGGGATCACTCCTGGACAGTGCTGCCACCTCATTTGGACAGGTCACTTTCTAGATATTCTGAGTGTGCAAATTCATTCTCGTGACCTCATTCGGTGTTTCTCTGACTGGTTATATGACCCCAAACCAAGTAACTCAGGCCTTAAGCCACCACATCTTTGTTGATTCAAAGTCCTTGGGCCATGAGTACATGGAAAACATTCCACAATGGGAGATACATGGTCTGAATTCCCTAGTACAGTACTAACTTTTCCATCAGTCGGGTGACTTGTTCTCTCTTATGGTCACACTGTAAGAATTAAATATGAAATAATATATGTGCTATATTAAGAATACTAAGAAGAATAGAAATTAAACCTTGTAACCTGTATGGTTCACTTCCTCTTGAGGTACTGTCATAAAAAGAATACCTCTGCAAGAACTGACAGTTGACTCTTTAGGCTTATGGTCTGGGAGCCAGGGAAGAGGGAAGAGACTGTAGTGGAGCCAGGACAAGCCTTATTTTCCCTCTCTTCTAAGTCTAAATACTGTCTCTGATGAGTCAGGTGGTTCTAAGGGCTTCTTTACTTCACCATTCATGATGATGCCATAACACCTTTACCTCCATGGCACTGTTCCCATACCACCTATCCCTCTTTCTTTGGATGCTCCAATTCTTTTGATGTTTTTCTTACCAGCCACCACTATGTCTAGCAATTAAACAGTTTGACCTTGATGGCATTCGTATAGTTGAGGATGAGGATCCACTTGGCAACTTTGGCCACTTGTGCTTCAGTGAACTTAGTGTGGTATCCAGGAAGAAATCCTTGTGTTAGGAAGACTACTAAGAAGATTCTGATGATATGGATACCTCTTAATTCACACCATGAGTAATTACCCTTTCCCTTGTGTGTAGGCTCACTTAGTGATTTGCTTCTGGCTCACAGGATAAGGTGAGAGGATGTCATTTCAATTAGTTTATAACAGATTGTAACTTCTGTCTTTATAGCAGAATCTCTCCTGGCTTTGATGAAGCAAGCTGCCATGTTGGAATGGCCCACATGACAAGGAACTGAGGACTATAGCCAACTATAACCAACAGTCAGCAAGGAATTGAGTACCTCAATCCAATAGGCCTTAAGGAACTGAATCCCAACAACAGCTACATAAGTGAGCACACAAGTGGGTCCTTCTCTAAGTGAGCCTTCAGGTGAAATCCGAGCCCAGGTGTCACTGTAATTGCAACATTTTGAGAGACTCTGAAGCAGAGAATCCAGGTAGGCTAGGTCAACATTCCTAACCCACAAAACCTGTGAGATGATAAATATCTGTTTTTTAAAGCACTAAATTTTGAAGTATCCATTATATAGCAAGAGTTAACTAAAACAACCCTAAATTTCTAGAGCTTTGGTGTAAGATATAGTATGGCTGGGAAGGTAGGCCATGTAGGAGGACAGCTTCCCAACATCCTTGGAGATATTGTTTTCATATTCAGTGATCATCCTACATATTTTTTATGCTAAAATGGCATCATTGTGCTCTACCAAACCCTGGCTAGTCTCCAGGAGGTACGTTGGAGGTAAGATAATGTTTGGTGGAATGGATAGCCAGGAATGGGTCATGAGTTGTAATGATATCATTTTTCTCTTCATTCTTTTCTTCTTTCCCACGCACTCCACCATTAATTTTCATTACTATTTGTCTCCCTTTCCCCAGAATTCTGGGTGGCTTCCTGGTGACCACTCCTACAAGTGATGGCCAGGTGATCTCTTGGTCTTGTAATAATGCTATCAAGCTAGGCATCCTTAAAAGATTTCCCTGAGAAGCAGGAAGAGCTTGTCCTGTCCCTTGAGGTACTGTCACAAACAGAAAAACCTCATCACTGAGGTCAAAATATGCCTACCAGAAAGATTAATACCCCACTTATAACAGATTCATCAGTCAGACCCACCCTATTCCTAGACCCTACCCTGGCCAATCCAGTATAACCCATTCAGGTAACCCACTCAAGGACTATCCATTGATATATACCCCACTCATACACACCTCATCATATACACCCCACTCAATGACTACCCTCCTGTGAGATACTCTGGAGTCAGGAATTTTCTAAATAAAAGTTAGCCACTGTTTTCAAGAAATTATTCCTATCTCTGGTTCTTTTCAGAAATTCAAGTTCTGCCTTGTCTTCTGCTCCAGTAAGTGAAGAGGAATGGGAAACGGTGAACTGCTACACATTTTCATTAGAATAAGTTAAGGGGTGAGAAACATAACCCATCACCCCAAAGTTCATGAGGGAGAGAGAGCTCTTAGGAACAGGTGACATTTATTCTTCACCAAGAGACCTAAGAGGAAGATTTCTCCCTCCCACCAACCTCTGCTCCTAAACACCCTTCCTTTCCCACTTCCAATTCCAAAACTTTTGGGAGGTAACAAGGGAGGATTCTGGCTATATGTGAGGGAGCAGGTAAAAAGACAGTGTGAGCCAAGTTCTAGACTTTAGGGTTTTTCTCACTTTGAAAATGCCTGAAAGGTTGTACTCTCTATAAGAAAATAATGTTTTTAACTACAGGAAATCTGAGCAGGGTCAAATGATCCCAGGATAAAACTGAGGCCACCTAGACTCCCTACAAGGGACCGGTCATCTTTTAGAAACAAAAAGAGGAAATCCGTTAGAACTGAAATGACTCCTTCATTTTTCTAAGCACAAGACCATGGATATGAAAAATCCAAGACCCAGTGTAGTACACAGACACCCTACTCCATTACAAGAAACATTTATTGAGCAGGATCAATATCTTTGGTATTTTTAAAGAAAGATGTTTTCATCAGAGGCTTTGTTGTCATGAAAATGGTGAGGCTTTGTCAACAAGGACCAAATGATTTCTTTAAAGAATTTTTTTCTCCTTGGTGGTGTTGGAGAAATGTTTTCTGTTTGAAAAGAAGAGTTCTTCATGGGTGGGTGGGGCGGGGGGGGCAAGGAAGCTGGAGGGACCTGGCATAGTTGATGTTTGCTGGTGGGTCTTGGATGGGCTACCAAGAGTGTGGGGAAGGATGTTGACTCTGGCACAGCAGCTGGTCCTCGAAGGCTACAACTTTCTGAGGAATGTCTGATCCTGACTCTGTTCTTTGTAACACTTGCAAGAAAACTCTACTTAGTGACAAATTCTTGGTTACAGCATTTGGTACTTGCACATTCTTCTTGGTAGTGGGTCAGAGAGAGCCCCGCATAGTTGGAGGGATGTCCCTTGTCAGGCTCTTTCTAGGCCTGCAGTTCCTACTTCTGTTGACTTAAATGGAAGGCCTGAAGTTCATGACTATTTGGCAATTTTTCCTCTAGGAACTTCCCAATGGCTGTCATGAGCTCATGAGCTTCAGAAAGCCCACAATCCAAAAAGATAGCTTCACTTTCAGGTAAGTCATGTTCCTGTGCAAATGTTGATGTGAAGTTGGTTTTTTGCTGGCGAGTTTCCAGCTCTTTACTTTTTCTTTTGGAATTGACCCACTGAGAAAATTCCCTCCTCTTTTTTTTGAAGTAACTATCAGGAGGAAACTGTTCATTTTGTGGCAAAGAGAGGAAAGTGCCCTCTAATTCTTTGTCCTCAACAGGGTGGCTCTTCTTTCTAGCTTTAGATGTCCATGAACTCAAATCCTCACTTCTACATTCTCCTGCTTTGGAATCCAAAGTTCTCACTTTCTTAGCCACTGGTGGTAAATTGATATCTTGGCACTTCCGTAAGACATTCTTAGGGACCCAGGATTCCTGCCTGAGCTCTGTGCTGTCCTCAAAGTGGACATGAGGCACCTTGGACACTCCCATGTGCCCACTGGTGATGCTCCGGGGCAGTGTCGGTGAGGCTAGGGAAGGAAAGCTATCTGAAGGAAGGGACGTGTCAGTGAGACAGCCTTGATTGCGGCTTTGCTCCCTGCTCTTCAATTTAAGTTTTAACTCATCAAGGAGCTGTTTTTGCAGGCTTGATAGTTTAGAATTTTGGGGATCTAATATTTTTGGTGAGGGATCCTCAGTGGTCAGGGTAGATTCTTCTTTACTCATATTGACATTTATCATTTGGGAGACTCCCAACTCCTGGGCTGTCAAGATGTCACAAGATGGTGATTTAATTGCATATGGCTCCTGGGCCTTTAATATCTCACTGAACATTTGGGAGACGGGAAAATATTCTAAATTTTCTACCACTGTCTTTTGGCCCTGAATCAATTTTGCTCTATCACGGGAACTCACATTCTCATCCGTTGGCTCATGTCCAGCTCCAGCTAGCTTCCTGGGCACCTTCGGGCTGTATCTATTGTTCAGTACAATCTCACTCTGTCTCCCTTTGTCTATGGTGTGGTGCCTGAGGGGCTGAAAAGTCTGCCTGCCACACACAGTTTTCTGGACATTCTCTGCAAGCTTATGTTCCATACCAGAATGTGCTGTTTTCAGGACCCCTTGTCCTTCCCAGCTTACATATGGGAAAGCCGGGAGAGGAGACTCCAGGATATCAACTGAATTTATTCCCAGCTTGTTTCCCTGAAAAGTTTTGGAGCTTCCCTCAAAGGGCTTGAAAACCTCAGCTTCGGAGACTACATTAGAAATATGGGTGGCTGTGGAAGGAAAGTCAAACTGGGGAAGAGGCCATGTTTTGCCTTCTCTTGCTGTATATAATTTTATGGATTGAATAACCTTTAGTGGGAGGCCCCATCTCTGATTCATACGAAATCTTATAATATGGGCTTCAAGCACTTGTCGAGTATTGGGATCAAGAAAAGAAAGCTCTAGAGTGGTGATCTGGCAGTAGACTCTACCAGTCATTGTGCTTTTTGAATTTTTAATTTTCTTATTGGTGTGGGAATTCCCAAGAGGCGGCCATGTATTGTCCTCGGCCATCCATGAATGACACACACCTATAGGGATTCTACCCTCAGTGATCTGTGAAGACTTCTTGCTCAAATGTAATCTAAGAATGGCTTTAATTTTATTCCAGTTTATGCCCGTCCTTGAGACACTTAATAATTTCTTTCCTAAATGACTCGAGTGGCACACACAGTTACTTTTTGTCTCTGAGGCAGCCCTCAGACACTTTACTAGGTAGCATTCTGAGATCCTTTGTGGACTGTCTTCTGGGCTCTTCTCTAGGATATACCCAAGATTCCTCTTTATGTCCTCCCTTAGCTGAAAGTTTTGTGGAACCCCCTCACATAAATGTCCTGGGAAACACAATTCATTCTTGCCTAGTGACTTGCTACATTCTCCCTGAAGCTCAGAGAGTTGTAAGTGAGCATACCCATCTTTCTGCAGAGAAGTTTCTGTTAATTGACACTGAGGTGCCCTCAGTTCTAGAGGCTCTAGATTCCTACAGGCATGATGGCATTGGAATGGGATTACCCTACTCGGAGCATAGAGCTGCCCTTGCCCCTGAGGTTCATTGGTGGTATGAAAATGGCCAGGAAGGATGGAGACTGGTATATAGGCATGGGATGACTGGCTGACCAATGGAAGGTTGGGAGCTTGAGGACAAATGGCATCTTGAGCTTTTTGGAGAACAGGGACTAAGCCCTGCAAACTTTCCTGTTGCATCTGCAACATATGGCATCCCAGGTGTTGATTTTCATTCAAGGTATTAGAGTCTGACTCATTCTGAGATCTATTGAAAGACACTCCACAGTCCCTAATCTGGGATGAAGAAGAAGATGGTAGGATTGTGAGTTGGGATGGAAAGTGGGGCTGGGGCTGGGGCTGGGGCTGGACCTGAGTGAAATATTGTGCTTGGGGCTTGATTTGAGGCAAATGTTGAGGATCTACATTGTTTAGGGGAAGGAAATGGAAATGAGGGAATGGTGGAGATCCTTGATGCTGCATTTTGAGTACAGAAGCATTACAAATTCCATTGAATAAGACAAAGCGAGTTTCTAGTGGAGAGCTACTATTGGAAACCAGGAAAGTAGCTACTAGGGACTCACTGTGCAAAGAAGGAAGACCCCAGAAGAGCTGGCTATATTTCTGCTGCAAGTTTTCTTCCAATGTCTTAACATAAAATAGCTCCTGGCTATCGCGCAACTGCTCTGGTTTGTCTTCAATGATCCAGCCAGTTTGGGGGACTATGGTGTTCTGTATATCAAGTAGTTCCAATGAATTCCCTAAAGATGACTGTTGGTATTCTGACCAAATTTGTTTTGAAAATGGTCCCTGCTTATTTTCTTTCTTCTCTAAAGTCTGAAAAGCCTTTCTCTTTATTTGTCTCTCCAGGAGTTCCTGGACATTAAGGCCAAGGAAAGAATTGCTACTGGCTTCCATGTGCTTTGAAACAGAGTCTCCCCAGAGACCAGTCTCTGGTAGATGGAGAAAAACATGCTCTTGCTGAAAATCAGAGTGTGATAATGTGGGGAGAAACATGTTCTTGGCATAAGCCTGCCAACAGGAAATATCTGATATTGACAGGTTCGAATGGTCAGTGTCTCTGATTATTGATTGATGAGTGGACAATCCACCAGTACTATCTGGAGACAAGTCCTCTGGAACAGGCTTCAGTGAGGGGAAAATTGATTTTGATTGAATCACAGTGGAAGGGCAGTCTGGTAGTTGTGAAGTAGACAGCATTGGTGGGATGTGTTGACAAGCAGATGAATCAGTGGGATTCGTTGACTGTGACAAACCTGGTAAGAAGTTGATATCTTGGGTAAGGATGGGATCACTTGAGAAGATGGTATTCAGAGACAAAATAGAATCTTACTGAAGAATAGGATCCACTCTCTGATTGTCATGTGGTAAGAGACGGGTACGGCAGGGTGTTTGGGTGGGAAATGGTCTACTGGGAATTTGGATTCTAAAGTAGGAAAAGGTCTGGTGGCAGAAAGTAACCCAATGGTGAAGGTGAAACAAAGTCAACTATGGGGATCATTGGATTAGGGGAGAAAATATGAGGTGGTGGTGGGAAAGCCTCAGGCAGAGGGGTAGGGATTGGGTCTCTTAGTGGGACTACTGAGAAGGCAGAAGACAAGAGAGTATGATGCCTCAGTACCAGAAACTGTGGAAGCCAAAGGAATAGCATCTTCCAAGGCCTCTGGGAACAACAGCTGGTTGACCTCAGCACTTTCGTTATTACATATCTCACAGAAGGGGTCTGGACATAATTGATGAAATTGGATATCATGATGATGGCCCTGGGAGCTGCAGAGAAAGGAGGTACAAAATTATTGCCAGGCCCTAGCTGGTTTGGCTCAATGGATAGAGCATCGGCCTGCGAACTGGAGGGTCCAGAGTTCAAATCCGGTCAAGGGCACTTGCCGGGGTTGCAGGCTTGATCCCCGGTAGTGGGTGTGCAGGAGGCAGCCAATCAATGATTCTCATCATTGATGTTTCTATCTCTCTCTCCCCTCTTCCTTTCTCTCTGAAATAAAAAAAATAAAAAACAAACAAACAAACAAAAAAAACTATTGCCAGGACCAGATCTTGGGATCTTGGCAGGTCTGGCACAGGTAGGGCTTCACACTGTATACAATCCTTTCAATTTCAATATTTCCTTGATCTCACAATATAATTTGTACTCCTTTCCCGAAGGCTTTCACATTCTGATTCTGATGATTTCCCTGTCAATCCCAGGTTTCACTGAAGCCCTATATTCTACTAAAAAGCCTTAGACCAGTGATGGTGAACCTATGACACGTGTGTCAGAGGTGACACGCGAACTCATTTTTTTGGTTGATTTTTCTTTGTTAAATGGCATTTAAATATATAAAATAAATATCAAAAATATAAATCTTTGTTTTGCTATGGTTGCAAATATCAAAAAATTTCTATATGTGGCACAGCACCAGAGTTAAGTTAGGGTTTTTCAAAATGCTGACACGCCGAGCTCAAAAGGCTCGCCATCACTGCCTTAGACTCTGCTAAATAGCTTTAGACACTGCTAAAAAGAGGATTACAGAATCAAAGCAATAAAGTTTAGTCACCTTTGCAGAAGAGAAAGCACCTTCCTTGCCTCCTCCACTTGGCTCCGGTAAGTTTTCCAACCTGAGAAACCAGGAAAGTGATGAAGGTAGAAGCAAAGACATCTTATAGAAGGCTATTTAGAATGTTCTTGAAAGGTACCCTTAGTAAATTGGATTTGGAAAGCCCCAAAAATTAGGATTCAAGGTCACATGTTCAGTGATAATTACAAAGCTCAGATGTGAATTGTTTTATTCACAAAGGGCTTTCACATATATTATCTCATATTATATTTAAAACAACCCTTTGAGGAGCATTGGTCAATGGTTATCTCAAAGAGGAATTTCAGTTCCAGAAAGTTAGTCATTGTTAAAGTCAGTAGACAGTAGTCTGGCTCTCAACATCTCACATGGCCACCTGTGGGCAACACCCATGCCCAGGTCCATCACTGCTTCAAGTACCCACAAATATAGAGCAGGAAATCTGAGAAGTATCTCAGGTTCTGAGTGTCTTCTCATGAGCTTCTCCTCTGAAGGCTCTGTTTTCTGAGAGGGACTGTATCTAGACTGACATCCTCAGAGACTATGGACCTAGCACCTCATAGAAAGTACAGAAAGGAGATCTCACATAAAAAAAAGCAGAACCTTACCTTTCCGTCTACCACCTTTTTTCCACCTCTTGGCTTTGCTCTGATGCTGAGAACAAAAAGAAAAGAATGAGGAGCTAAGACACATTTCTTTCACTCATCTCCATAGGAAACTGAGACAGTTATGATCCAAGAATAATACAACTCTCTCAAGATAAATACCACATGATCTCACTCATTTGTGGATTATAGAGAACAACATAGACTGATGAAAAGGGACAGATCCAAAGACTGAGAAACAGCAATCAGGCTATTAATCCCCAGAAGGAAAGTAGGGGAGGGCGGGGTGAGGGGAAGAGATCAACCGAAGGACTTGTATACATGTATATAAGCCAAACCAATGGACATGGACAACAAGGGGATGGGAGCATGAGTGTGCGGGGGGGGGGAGGCAGGGGGGGAGGGGGGGACATTTGTAATCCTATCTAATAAAAGAGAAACATGGTAATTGGCGTACAACCGCTACCCTTCCCATTGGCTAATCAGGGCAATATGCAAATTAACTGCCAGCCAAGATGGCGGCAGGCAGCCAGGCAGCTTGAAACTAACATGAGGCTTGCTTGCTTCAGTGACAGAGGACTCCAACATTCCCGCCTGCCGCTGCTGGCCTCTGAGCTGCAACTCTAAGTAACTATGTAACAAATATAGAAGCTAAACAAAACCCCAGAAACCGGCTTTAGTCGCCAGGCTTCAGCCAGCAGGATCGCAACACTGTAAGCAAAGGCCAGAAACCTACTTTCAGCAGCGGAGGCCTAAGAGCTGGAGCCAAGCCTCAAAGCTAAAGCTGGCCCAGAATAAAAAAAAAAAAAAAGAAAAAAAGGAGCGGTTGGGAGCTTCAGTCACCCCCAGCCTGAAAACAGCCCTCAGCTCCTCACCCAGACTGGCCAGGCACCCCAGTGGGGACCCCCACCCTTGAAGGGTGTGTGACCAGCTGCAAACAGCCATCATCCCCTCACCCAGGCTGGCCAGGCACCCCAGTGGGGATGCCCACCCTGATCCAGGACACCCTTCAGGGCAAACCAGCCAGCACCCACCCATGCACCAGGCCTCTACCCAATATAGTAAAAGGGTAATATGCCTCCCAGCACCAGGATCAGCGGAGCCGAGAGGCCTCCCGGCACCAGGATCAGCGTGACAGGGGGCAGCGCCCAAACCCCTTGATCGCCCTGCGGCTCTGTGTGTGACAGGGTGCGGTGCCCCAACCCCCCCACCACGGGCCCTGCTCTGTGTGTGACGGGGTAGAGCCATAACCTCCCCATCAGCCCTGCCCTGAGTGTGAGTGTCGCGGCACCCCAACCCCCTGATCGGCCCTGCTCTGTGAGTGACGGGGAAATTCCCCAATCCCCTGATTGGCCCTGCTCTGTGCATGACAGGGGGTGGTGCCGCAACCTCCCCATTGACCCTGCCTTGAGTGTGACAGGGGATGGTGCCCCAACCCCCCAATCGGCCCTACCCTGAGCATGACTGAGGGTGGCATCACAACCTCCCAATCAGCCCTGCTCTGTGTATGACAGGGGGCGGTGCCCCAACTCCCCAATCAGCCCTGCTCTGAGCCCCACCAGGGGCTGCACCTAGGGATTGGGCCTGCTCTCTGCCACCCGGGAGCAAGCCTAAGCCAGCAGGTCATTATCTCCCGAGGGTTCCCAGACTGCGAGAGGGCACAGGCCGGGCTGAGGGACCCCCCTCCCCCCCGAGTGCACAAATTTTTGTGCACCGGGCCTCTAGTACCTTAATAAAAAATTATTTTTTTAAAAAAAACAGCACACATATAAATGACAAAATGGCAACTCCAAGTTTAATTCTGATACCTAATAAACTTAACTTTTAAAATAAAATAAAAATACAACTCTCTCTGTCAATTAATATAATTTGCATTTTTATCTTTTATTAAGTTTTAAGGGGGGTAAAATATTTTCAATGTTTTTCTTCTTAGAAAAACTCAAAGAGGGGTTGTATCTATGAGGTTCATTCTTAGTATTCTCAGTCCGAAGTTCTCTGCTTAAGGAGGACATAAAATCTGAGACCAGCAGTTTCATCTGTGCTCCCTCAGCTAGGACCCTGTAACCTGGGACAGAGCTCCGGCTCCAGCCCCGCTTAGAGGTGCTCAGAGCCTAAGCATTGTTCTCCCGATCAGCTCATACAAAGGAAGGTGTGGTCCAGTGACACCTGGCATGGGAATGTGACTCATAATAAAGTGCAAAGGTTCCAAACTTTCTAAATAACACAATCTAGAACTACAGAGATATTGTGTTGAGATTTTATCCAGCAGCATGCCACCACACCCAGGTGGTTTGTGAAATCTTAATCTTCCCTGAACCACTAGACCTGCTCCGTCTCTTCCCCTACAAGAGTGATGTTCTCCATTCTCTCTTCAGACTTCCCGTTTTAAGTGGCTCTCTAACCCAAACAAACTCATTTATAAATGTGAAAAGAGAAACAGGAAAATAAAGAATCATTCTTTGGGGGGGGGGGGGAAATGTATGGTTCTATGTCTGATATTTAAATTGCTTATATTTAAAGACACCTGTCCAGTTTATAGAAGCAAAAGCCTGAAAAATGGATAAACAATTACTTTCATTGGAGCCATCAGAGAATCGAGATCAAAGGTCAAAGCTCTACCCAAAATTTTCATAGATAGTAAATTCAGAGAATCATAGTCAAGATCCACTTACATGGAGCAGAAGCCACTGGAACCATAAACTGGTAGGACACTTAAAAGACACATTGACAAATTGCTGGAGGTCACATGTGGGGCCCCCAACTATTTATGGATTTACCCCCAAGAACTTCATTAGGTTCTCACAATGAAAAAACTCTCATGTTGTTTGCCAAAGTGTGGAGTGGGGTGAAAGATAACCATTTTGAAACATTTTTAAATATTCCCTGAGTGTTATCCATCACAGAAGCCTCCTCAGTTGACAAAAGGACTACCAGAGCCTTATCTTACATGAGAGAAGGAAAATTACTCAATTGTAGCCCTCTCTAGCCTTCTTGTCTCATCTAAAGAGTGAAAAGATAAAGAAAAAAGGTGATAAACACTTGTAGACATCACAACCCAGGGACACTAGTGCACTAAAGGCCTAAGATTTAATCATATGCACTCCCCCAAGACCTGACCACCATATCAACAAGAGCTCCAGAATAGTAAGGGGATCACACTGAGAGAGCAGCTAAGCATAGGCTCTTTTTAAGGAGGAGACTTAGGGAAACCTAAAGACATCACAGGAGACATTTTTTAAAAAACTAAAATAATTTGAAGACTCTTACATATACAGCTACAGTAAATATTAAACACAGTCAACACCTACCCAGAAAACATAAAACTTCATGTTGATGGTCTGTTTACTCCAGTCCTTGTTACCCAATACGTCATGTTTGGCTTCCAACAAAAAATTACAAGTCACGTTAAAAGCAAGAAAAAGCAGTCTGAATAAACAAAGCAAGCCTTAGATCCCATTCAGATGTGACACAGACTTGGGGATTATCATACATGGAGAGGCATTACATAACAACAATGGGGTCAATTCCCCAAGATGTCACAATAATCCTTAACCTCTAACAACAAAGTATCAAAATATGTGAGGTAAAAATTCACATATATGTGAGGTAGAACTGCAAGTAGAAATAGATGAATCCACTGTTATTACTGAGGAATTCAACACCCCTCTATTAGAAAAGAATAGATTCAGCAGGCAGGAAATAGGCAAGGATATAGTTGACCTGAACAGCACTGTCAATCAACTTGATCTCACCAATATTTATAAAAACTTCATCCAACAGAATTCACACATGAAACATTCCCCAAGATGTACCACATTCTGTGCCATAAAACGCACTATAACAAATATAAAAGAAGTCATACAAAGAATATTTTCAGACTATAAAGAAATTAAAACTAGAAAGCCATTACAAATAGCTGGAAAACCCCAAAATGTTTAGAGATTAAACAACACACTACAACCACATGGGTGAAGGGAAAAGTCTCAAAAGAAAAATAAAAATTTAAGTGAAAATAGAAATATAAAGTTGTAAGATGCAGCTAAAGCAGTACTTAGAGAAAATCTGATTGCATTAAATGCATGTATTTGGAATGATTTATTTATAAATTTAATATTTACCTGATTGACGTCTCTCTGTTTCCAAAATACTGGGAAAGAGGGATCCTTCTTTAGGTGATACAGTGACAGAAGAAGGAGCCCCACCCCACACAGGAAGGCAAAGATGGGAATCACTAGAAAGGTGAGCAGGACTTCAGCCATGGTACAGTAAGGCTGCTCAGACAAAGAAGGTGGTTTGCATCTTTGAAAGTTCTTTGCTGCCTCAGGCAGCTGGACGTTGAGAGCACATTCTTGACTAGAATTCCAGGCCCACACACATCACAGAGCTTCAGCACAGACACCAGAGGTTCTGAGCGTGGGGGAGGGGACAACTAAGGGAAGGTGAACTCACAACCCACCCGTATCATCCAGCCCAGCAGATCTATCCATTCCTACAGGTCCCTTTGCATCGCTCCAACCTAACTTCCAACTCCACCCATTCAGCATACCCTATGTTTACCTTAATGAACTTTTCTGTTTATTCTTCCTGTTACCCAGGTAGTACCTGAGACCCTTTAATGCTTGGTGATCTCATTTTGGACCCCACATAACCTTTCAAAGTCTGCTGAGCCCATGGATCGACACGTCCAAGATCTACTCTGTCTTCAACAGCAGCTTCCCCTTTTATATAATGTGTTTCTACTTGAATGAAACCTAAAATCTATTCATCAGCTGCCCCACCCTCATATCTCCCTAAAGAATCCACATTCACTGAAAATATGAAAGGACAGAGTAGCCTGTAACAATGAATAAAAATGATGAAAGAGGGAGGGGGGAGAAAGGAGGGGAGGGGAGGGGAGGGGAGGAGGAGAGGAGGAGAGGAGGAGAGGAGAGGAGAGTCTTCCAGTATCACTTTTAGGCTATTCAGCACCTTTTAGCCACACATTATCTCTTCCTGTTCTTCCCTCTTTCTTCCTTCTGCCAAATCCCTTCTCTCCCTGCAACACTTTAATTTCTTCACTTTACAGAGCAGTTGTACTGGCCTACAACCCACAGGACCAAACTCACCTTGACTTAGAGAATGGGTTTTTCTTTAGCATAACTTTTAAAGAGCACAACCCATTAGAAACACAATTTTGTGTTTCTTGACTCACACCTATGGTTACTTCTTCCATGAAAAGTTTATGATTTTTTTTCTCACTCTACTTTCTAACTTTTTACCAAAATTCCTATTGGCATCTTCATAGCTTTTTAAACAATAATATATGGGGGTTTTTGTTGGTGGTATATATGTATGTATTTCATCTCTTTATGCCTATTAATCATTTAATAATAACTCTTCGGCTTCATTCTTTAGATATAAATTTCTGAAATGAAGCCTACTGTGTCAATTCCTTACTTTGCTTGCCTGCATTCCCTTGCTGAGTCTTGGTGAATCAGTCTTGACCCCAGACACACAATCCTTTCTCTCCCATATGAGGAAGTTTTACCAGTAATGTCAGCTCCTTTCTTTGCCTGTCTTCTGTATCCACAGCTTTGCCATTGTCCCCACCCAAAAGGAAGGCACACTTCAAGCCTTCCCCCCTCTCTCATATCCTCCCTTATCGGTTGAGGGATTCAGAAAGATCCCTCAACATCTTTGTATCTCTGGTGCTTTTTTATACCAAGTCTGGTTCTGGCTGTTTCTAAGGTCATTACGACTCACAACTGCAAAAACATCATTTTTTAAAATATATATATATATATATATATTGATTTCAGAGAGGAAAGGAGAGGGAAAGAGAGATAGAAACATCAATGATAAGAGAGAATCATTGATTGGCTGCCTCCTGCACATCCCCTACTGGGGACCAAGCCCACAACCTAGACATGTGCCCTTGACCAGAATCGAACCTGGGACCCTTCAGTCCGCAGGCTGACGCTCTATCCACTGAGCAAAACCACCTAGGACACAAAAACATCTTTTAAAGAATAAACAAGGTCAGCTCACTAAGAAATTTCCAGGTGAGAAGTAGTTATAAAAATGGCACATAGGACCTTATCACAAAAAGGAAAGGCTGAGAACCTTGTTCAGATTAAAGGAGACTAAAGACACATGACAACTAAATGCAACATGTGAATCTAGACTGAATCTTGTAATGGAAGAGTTTCTTGGCAAACAAAACACAGAGGACATTACTCAATAAGTTGGCAAAAATAGAATAAGAATGGGAAATTAGTTAAAAGTTTTATGCCGAAAGTTAAATTTACTGAAGGGAGTAACTACTGTATTAAGACACACTGCTTTTTCTTAATAAACACACAATGAAATATTCAAAGAGAAATGGGAGGGAGGGAAGGAGGCAGCAACAGAGAGGAGAGAGATAGTAAATGGGCCAAAATGTTTGTAGGTATATCTAGACAAAGGGTTTATGATTTTACCCTCCATGCAAAATTTTAAATACACTTTATAAAATGGACCACGGAGTGTTGTCTTGAATTTTAGCTTAAGTTTGAGATTTCTGCCTTTGATCTCCACAGCCAATCACCACCACCATACCCAGAACACAGAAGTGTACCATGCCAGCTTTACCACAGTTATCTTGGGTTCTATCCCAGGCGAGTAACCTGGGATCCTCTGCACATTTGAAACACGCTAACATTTTAACAAGACGGTACAAAATACTGCCCCCCATGCCTTCCAAAAATAATCTTTAAAAATTATACAATATAGAACATTTAAAAAATCAAGATTTTTACCACATAGAACCCCTAATTTCTTTCTTATCTGGTCCACCAAGTCATTTGTCTTCTGGGTTTTGTGGAGTGAATGGCTTTGCCAGCATTTCCTCTGTCTGCTAGTCACTTGAAACCCCTCACCTGGATTTCCATCTTCCAGAAATGCTGACATCTTCTGTTATATCCTATGCCCTCTTGTCATTCTTAAGCACATAGTCTTCTAAACCCTTTACTTATTCTAACAGCTTTATTGAAATTATAGTTCATATACCATACAATTCAACCATTTACAATGCGTAATTGCATGATTTTTGGTATATTCACAGACATGGTCATCTCCACAGTCATTTTAAAAATATTTTCCTGACTTCAGCCCTGGCTGGGTGGCTCAGTTGGTTGGAGCATCATCCCATACACCAAGAGGTTGTGGGTTCAATTCCAAGTCAGAGCTCATACCTAGGTGCAGGTTCCTCCTACTGGAAGCAACAGATCTCTCTCTCTCTCTCTCTCTCTAAAGTCAATTAGAAAAAAACATATCCTCAGATGGGGTAGAGTGGAGGGGAATTAAAATCTAAATAAATAAAACATTTTCATGACTTCAAAAAGAAAGCTTATAATCTTTAGCGATCATCTCTCTCCTCCCTCCCCACCCCACCCCTGGCCCTAAGAAACCACTAATTTACTTTCTCTGTGTAGATTTCCTTATCTGTATATTTTTGATATGTAGTCATTTTTAATTGGTTTCATTCACTTAGCATAGTGTTTTCAAGGTTTATCCATGTTATAGCACATCAGTACTATTTATTGCCAAAATATTACATTTTCAAAATATACCATGTTTTATTTACCTGTCTATCAGTTGCTGTACATTTGGTTTGTTTACACTGTTTGACTATCCTATATAATAAAAGGGTAATATTTTACCTGAACTGCAGAACAACTGGTTGCTATGACGCACACAGGAGCTGCCCCCTGGTGGTCAGTGCGCTCCCACAGGGGGAGCATCACTCAGCCAGAAGCCAGGCTCACGGCTCATGGCTGGCGAGCGCAGTGATGGTGGCAGGAGCCTCTCCCGCCTCCACGGCAGTGCTAAGGATGTCCAACTGATGGCTTAGGCCCACTCCCCCCTGCTCCCCCGAGGGCTCCCGGGCTGTGAGAGGGTGCATGCTGGGCTAAGGGACCCCCCTGAAATCTCATGCACCGGGCCTCTAGTTCTATATAATAAAAGGCTAATATGCAAATAGACTGAACAGCCAAAAACCTGTCGGTATGACACCCACTGACCACCAGGGGGCAGACGCTCAATGCAGGAGCTGCCCCCTGGTGGTCAGTGTGCTCCCACAGGGAGTACCACTCAGCCAGAAGCCCTGAGCCAGGCTCATGGCTGGTGAGCACAGCAGTGGTGGTGGGAGCCTCTTCTGCCTCCATGGCAGTAAGACATCCCCCAAGGGCTCCCGGACTGCAAGAGGGTGCAGGCCAGGCTGAGGGATGCCCCCTCCCGAGAGCATGAATTTCATGCACCAGGCCTCTAGTTATGAATAATACTGCTATGAACATGCCTTTATAAGTTCTTGTGTGGACATATGTTTACAATTCTCTTGAGTATATGTTTAGAAGTGGACTTGCTGGGTCAAATGTTAACTCTGTATTTAACATTTTGAGGAAGTACCAGAATGTTTTCCAAAATGGCTGCACTATTTTTATTCTCAACAATGTATGAGGGTTCTACTTCCTATACATGCTCACCAACACTTAACATTTGACTTTTTGATACTAGCTATCTTTTTGTGTGTGTAGTGCTATCTTACAGTGCTCTTGATTTGCATTCCCTGATGGCTAATGATATTGAACATCTAATCTTTTACTTTTAATGGAATGTAAAGTGAGAATAGATAAACACATATGTTTGATCGACTGTTTAACTCAAAACACAATATCTTATTTTAAATGTGACAGGAAAATATTTCTTCTAAATATTTGAAAACACATATAGTGATGCCAACTCAACATGTAGTTTCCTACTTCTGTACTTTTAGCATGTCAGTGTAGTCACTGTGATTAAGGAACAGCAATATTGTGCATGGGATTTGCTCTGTAAGATGATTTCTTTCACGGGGTTGAGAGAACTCACTCAAATGACTCCTCGGGGTTAACTTAAAGGCAGAACAGAACGGACTGCCAAAGCCTTTACAGCTCAGTGCTTTCCCCTCACCAATGCTGTTTACATCTGTGGTGCATACATGTGTCCCACATGTGATAAATATCAAAGAAATGTGGGAGCTTTGACATGGGCACATGGAATATGTCTGAGAGATGGATGGGAAGATGTTTCAATGGGCTTTTTCACTTTTATTGTAAAAATGGGATCTATTTATTACACATGCCAATTCATAATTATGAAAGTTGAGCTGCGGGTACATGGGAAGATATGTAGTATCTGTTCTTGTACAGGTTTTTTCTGTAACAACAAGCTTTTTAAAAATAAAAGATGTTAAATGCCTCATAAGGAGAGGGAGGGGCAAAAGGGTACTTGGCAAGGGTGCATCAGTCCATTAAGACGGGAATTTAGCTCTCTCTCTCTCAATAAGGTTATTTCAGGAAGTATCATTCCTTTGAGGTTGGGAGGAAACCTCTTTTCATGCAACAGGAAGGAAACAGGAAGAATGTGAAAGTGCTTTTTGAAGTGTTTGGTTGAAAAGTTCCCATCTCACGTCTTCTAGCTCATCTGTTGTGCCAATGGAGATGGACTCAGCTTGAGGAAAGTAAGAGAGATTTGAAATAGACTTTAGTAGCTTTGGAGAGAGAATGGACTAAGGAAACAGGGACCTAAGCTCCATTTGTTTTATTCACATGTTAGTAACCAGGGATAGTTATTTGTGTAATTAATGATTTCCAGATAATTCTGGGGCACCAGTAGAATTGATTGATTTAATCCAATAATGGTCAGTTACTTATACAAAGACGTTTCTGGAAAAACACAAAGTTCAAATTATGCCAGACAGGAAGGACTAAAGGGGACTGGAAGGGGCCCATTTGTAGTGGAGTGTTTAAAAGTTGGTTACCTGATAGATAGGCCATCAATTCTACCTTGGTAAGGGAGGGAAACAAGAGCTTCGTGAATTGCCAGGGAGTAAGTGGAAATATGAATGACCTGGAGTTGAAAAATTAATAAGGGGCATATAATCTGGAAGGATAGGGGTTTAAGGTCAGACTGTATTGTTCCATATGCCAAAGGTGTTCCTGCTCTACAGTGTGGCAGTAACTGCACTGGAACAGAAGTAAAGGACCCTAAGATGATGAAGGGAATGGGGGGCTGAGTTATTGGCTGCTTGGTCCACATGGATGTTAGAGCACTCACTGCCTGCTCACCTCTTCAAGTTCCCTGCCTTAGGCTCCGTTTCACCTTTTCATCCCTCTCACAATCTTCACAAAATCTGCAATTTTTTGGTGACCCCAAGGTTTATACATTGTCCATAGCATAAACTCTGTACAAAAAATACAAGTGTGGTGGTGAGAGAGGATTGTGGTAGACAACTAAGTTTTTTAATTTGTTTTTTTTTCTGGACACTCAGGACTCATAACACTTACTGGAAAAAGTATCTGAAGTGCTCACGAGGACACTCATTCCATTTTTGTGTCTTAGTATGAACCAGTGGAGTTTACTCGCCTGCCTACCACTATAGCATGGGTGGATCTTTGTGCAGGTTTGGCTAAAGAGAGCATCCCGTGGAGGTTCAAGGTGGGCCCCCAAATATCAGTAACCCTGGTGCATAGTTGAGAACTCACTTCTGGTTCATGAGCTGTAGGTGTTCCGGGGGGGGATTTATTATAACTCCCCTAAAGCCATGAATATCAAAGGTGACACCTCCCTCCTGGTAAGTGACACGTACACACACTAAAGGCAAGGCCTTGCATATTTCCATCAATCATGATGGAAGGAATGGATTTCACCATCACCAAAAACAGGGATGATATCCCTGCAAATACTGATTTAGTGCTCAAGAAAGAGCCCATGCTTTTAGTGTGAGACATGGCAGAATGTGCAGTGCTCTGATCTGCCATGGCAGGTGGAGCTTAGGTCAGTTTGAGGACAGGAGCTTAGACCAGTTTGAGGAAGCTAGAGAACAAGACAGGATCACAGTGTTGGAATGATGGTTATCACCTTTGTTCCACCAACAAGGTCACTCTTTTCTTTCTTCATTTGATCTTACTTTCTCACTTAGTCTAATGCATACTTTCCTTACTTTCAGCTTTATTTTACCCAGCTGAGTGATGTTTCTGCTCAGAAAAAAAAAAGAAAGGAAGGAAGGAAGGAAGGAAGGAAGGAAGGAAGGAAGGAAGGACGGAAGGAAGAAAGGTTGGTTGCCAATCCCACAACCTGAACACCCAGGGGCAGGAATGACTTCCCCAAGGTGACTTTCCAGTAGGCATACTTGAGTGCCAAGGTTAAAGTACACTTCCCCAACACATTAACATGACCCATGAGACAGATCTTTAAGCAGATCTGTGCTGTTCCTAGACCCTAACCCCAACCAGCCCAGGATCCACTGCAGCCATATCCCCCAAACATTCCCATTGAGGGTTCACCCACCTGTGGGATCCTCTTATCACTAACTTAGTAAATAATGCTTAAGCCACTGTCTCTTCACTGATATTTTCTGAAAAATATACCTGACCTTGATCTTCTTCAGATACAGAAGACCTGTATTGTGTGCTATCTGAAAGGATATTAAGCATATCCTAGAGGGAAGATATGGGCTGCCATTCTTGTTTATTAAAGCTAAGCTCAAAGGTAGGAGACAGAGCCCATCTCCTTAAACTTCATCAGGGAGGAAATGAGATTTTTAGGGGGAGGGGGTCAAGATATCTATTTTTCAGAAAAGGCTAAAGGGGGCTGGTCCCTTTGAACCCAAAGGAAGCAATCAGTAGGAGCTAACCTAAATCCCTCCTTTCCCTAAGCAGAAGCTCTGAAACACACCAAATCTATACCCCCATCACAGTACACAGAAAAAACATCACCATTACTAGTGAAACATTTATTAGGGCAAATCAATAATCACCACAAGGAAAAATTATTTGGGGGTGGGAAATACTCTTTCCCTGGAAATTCTGTAGAGGTTGTCTCTGTCTAAATAGTAGACATTGATCTCTACGACACCTCCAGCAGTGGTGAGAGCAGGAGGCCCCCGGGCAGCTGCAGGCCTGCAGGTGGGGCTTATCTCAAGATGAAGCCATTGAAAAAAGCGATTCATTTGATTTCTGAACAGACTTTCAGGAGGAGACTGTGCCTTCTGTCTTGGGCTCTGGGGAGACTTGCTCCCGAGCCTCTCCTTTAATGGCAGGTCCTGAGTTGGAAATCTCTTCCTTCCAGGTTGGGATGTGCCCAACCCAGCATTCCCTCCACCAAGCTCTTCTGATGTGGAGCCTGTGGGCCTCACCTTTGTAGCAGGTGGGAAATTCTTATCCTGGCACAACCTTGAGATCTTCTTAGGGACCCACAGCTCCTGTGGCTGCTCCATACTGACTCCTGTGTTCCCCAAATGGACATGCAGCACCTGGGGAGCTGCCCTGTCCACACTGGAGACACCCTGAGCATGAGTCAGGGAGGCTTTGTAAGTCAAGCTGTCTGAGACATGGGACACGTGAGTGTGTTGGCCTTGGGCCTGGCTCTGCTTCCTGTTCTCCAGCTTCCACTTTATCTCAGAAAGTAGTTGCTTCTGAGGGTCTTCTGATTTAGGATCTTGGAGAACTGATGTTTTCGCTGGGAGGCTTTTAGTTGTCCCAGGGGTTACTCCTTTACTCTCACTCACATTTACCCTTTGGGAGGTTCCCAGCTTGCTGGTTGTCAAGATGCCACTCATTTGGGGTTGAAGAGCATCAATCTCCTCAGCCCTGGACACGTTGGGCATGGAGACAGGTTCTGATTTCTTCATCTTTTTGCTCTGACTGGAATTCACTCTTTGATCCTTCGGCTCATGTCTGGCCCCAGCTTGCTGTATGGGCAGCTTTGGGGGACAAATGTTGGCTCTTGGAGTGTGTCTCTCACTTTCTTTTCCAATGATGCTGTTTGTAACACGCAGAAGAGTCTGTGGGGCAACCTGAATTCTCTGAACCTCTTCTGCCAGCCCATGGGCAATATTAAGGAGTGATTGACTGAGGGTCCCCTGTCCTTCCTTGCCCATAAGTGAGGTGGCAGGGTGAGGATGATTCAGGGTTTTAGAGATTCCTCTAACAGGCTGGAAGCCCGTAGATTTGGAATCCCTCTCAGAAATCAGATTGGTTGAGGAGGAAGTCTTGGAATCAGACAGGGAATGGGAAGAAGTATCCCTCAATTTAAAGATCTTTATGGATTCTAGGACTTTGGCTAGCAGGGCCCACATCCTCCTCAAATGAAACTTGGTAATGTGGGCTTCCAGCTTCTGCTGTTCACTGTAGTCAAGGAAGGAGAGCTCGTGGGAGGTGTTCAGGCAGCTTTCCTCACCCGCTGAGTGTGCCAAACGTCTCTGTTTTATTTTGTTGTATTGCCCAGAAAGTGCCCAATGGATAGCATGCCATGGACTATGCACAGTCGCAGGGAGCTGACCCTCACTGGTTTCCTCAGACTTCTTGCTCAAGTGTGCTCTTGAGGCATTTTCTGGTTGTCCCTGCCTTACATTCTGCCCTGATATCATTGAATTTGCTCCTGACAGACTCATTATGTCAGTGTTTAGGTCTTTCTCAGATTCATACCCCACATTCTGAACTTGATTGGAATAACCTTGTGCCAAGGTGGACAGCAATGGGTCTCTGACACAAGCTTTCTGACAGAAAAAGTATGAAATTGACAGTTTTGGATGGTCAGTGCCTTTAGGGACATAAGTGGCCAATGCCCCAGTGCTGTGTGGAGAAGGGTTCTCCAGAGCAGGCTTGGATGAGATGTGAATGGATTTAGCTTGAGTCACAGTTAAACTGGTGTGTGGTGCTGGTGAAGCAGACATGGTTGGTGGTCTGTGATAAGTCACTGATGCAGTGAGATTCAAAGTCGGGTCCAAATCTGGGAAGGGGTTGATACCTTGGGTAATGGAGATATCAATAAAGATGGTATTCAGGGTCAGAAAAGTTTCCGAACTCTATGAGTGTCATGTGAGAGGGAAAGGAAAGGGTTTGGAATGGGGAATCATCCACTGTGAATTTAGATTCTAATGGAGGTAAAGGCTCTGATGTCAGAGAGTTAACTGATGGTGTTGGTGATGGAAAATCACCTAAGAGGGTCACTGGGTTAGGGGAGAGATTGGAAAGGGGTGGTGGGAAAGGCTCAGACAGAAGAGGTGGTATTAGCTTTCCTGGAGGGACTGCTGAGAAAGCAGGGGACAGAGTGAACAATGACTCAGTCACAGGAGCTGCAGAAGCCAAAGGGGACGCCGAGGGAGTAGCACCTTGCAGTGTCTCTGAGAAGAGCAGCTGATCCATCTCAGCAGTTGCATCATTACACACCTCACAGGAGGGGTCTGGACATAACAGCTGACGAAAGTGGGTGGAATCATGATGCTGGCCCAGGGAGCTGCAGGAGACAGAAGGTGCAAAGGTGCAGACAGGACCAGGATAAGGTCTGACTGGAGGGCGGGGGCACCTGAAACCTGCTGCCCCTTCACACTGCCCCAATCCATGACTTCACAATGCACTCAATAACACTCACACCAAGGCCTTCACTCAAATACCCATTTCTGTAGAAACCCTCTCCCAAGACTACAGAAGGCTGCATTGAACGCCTGAAATTGCATAGAACATGCTAAAGAGGGATCAGGAAAAAGGGGGAAAGACTAGTCACCTTTTAAGGACAGAAAGCAGCATCTTTTTCTCTTCTTCTTCCCTCTTGTAGTATCTCCAATCTGAGAAACCAGGAGAGTAGATAATACATGGTGAAAGTGGAAGCAGAACTATTACAGAGGAGTCCTGTTATGGGAGACCATTGGCATATAACTCTGAAAGCCCAGGATCAGTAAGTGAAGTCAAATGGTTATTGATAATATTTAAAAGGTTCCCATGTGTATGTTGCTTCATTTGTAAAGTACTTTCACATACATTATTTCATTTGATGCTGAAAACCACTGTGTGAAGCATAGAGGACAGTGGTTATATTAAAGAGGAATCTGATCATCCTGAAGTAAAGTACTTTCACAAAGTCAGGAAACAGAAGTGCTGATTCTGAACATCTATTGCTCAACACCCATTCCCCAGACCCATCACTGCTTCATACCCAGCAACAGCAGAGCAGGGAATCTGTCTCAGGTTCTGACTGTCTTCCCAAGAGCCTCTCTTCTGAGGGATTTTTCTTTTTTTAATGAGAGAAACTGTGTCTAGCAACTGACATCATAGAAATCATGAACCTGGTTCCTTATGGGAAGGAGAAAGGGTCACCCTTGGAGAGGTCACATTGACAGGTAGAACCTTACCTTTCCGTGTCCCACCTTTCCTCCTCCTCTTGGCTCTGCCCTGATGATGCTAAGAACGAAAGAATGAGGGGTTGGGACACATTTCTGTCACTCCTCTCCCTAGGAATCTCAGACATTAATTATACAAGAATAATATGACTAATTAATGGAACTCTATGTGTTTCTTTTTTATATCAGTTATTAAACATTTTAAATGTTTTCAATTTTTTCTTCTTTAAAAAACCCATAGGATTGTATCCATGAGATTCATAGTCAGTTCTCAGTCAGAAGCCCTCTGCTTAAGGAGGGCATAAAATCTGGGGCCAACAGTCTCATCTTTGCTCTCTCAGATAAGACCCTGTGACCTGGGACAGAGCTCCAGCTCCTGCCTCTGTCAGAGGCTCCCAGGTGCTCAGCACTGCTCTCCTGATCAGCCCAACAGAGAGGAAAGCTTGGTCCAGTTATGCCTGACCTGGGAATATGATCATGATGAAGTTCGATGGAACTCTGATCTCTAGCAGGGATCCCAAACTCAAAATAACCCAATCCAGGGCCATGAAATCACTGTGGGATTTATATATATACAGGAGTTCTCCACCATACCCAGATGGTCTACGAGCTTCATATGGTAACCTGAGTCCCTAAACCCCTAGACCTGCCTGGTCTCTTCCCCTAGAAAAGCGATGTTCTGTTCTCTCCTCAGACATCCCATCTTAGGTGTCTCTCTGACCCAACTAAACACATTTATAAACGTGGGACTAGAAATGGAAAAAAAATAAAAATCTCTCTTGGGCTTCCCACAGGGTTCCTTACCTTTTTTGTGTATTCATTTTTCCAGAAGGTTAGGGTAAATGGAACTTCCACCAGTAAACAGAAGAGGAGGAGGATCAACCACAACACACAGAGGTAAGTTAGGGTGCAGTAACAATCTAAAGGTTCCCCACAGAAGCTCTGATAAAGCTCTTGGAGGCTTTTCAGAAATGTGTTCAAAATCATTTTCTGAAAGGCAATGCTGCCTGAGGCAACTGAGCTCTGAGAGTGCAGACTCTTGACTTTATAGCCAGGCCTGCATCACAAAGCACTGAGGGGTCACAAAGGGTTTCTGAGGGTGGGGAAGAAGGTACACCTTCGAGAGGGTGTGTCCACAGCCTCTCCCTCTACCAGCCCAGCAGATTCCCTCCATCCCTCTTTCGCCTCTAGTTCCCTCTGCCCGACCCTGCCATGCTATTTTCCAGCCACATTATATCATATATGTTTACTTTGGTGAAATATTCTGCATGTTCCATCTGTAACCTCATAATTACTCCCTTTAATGTCTGGAGTCCTTGATTTGGGTCACCAGGTCCAGCACTTTGAAAGTCTAAAATATCATCTGGAATTTTTGCTTGTGACCAGACATTTATACTCAGGAACATGTATATCCTCAAATCCATGTTTCCTATAGAATATTTTTACCTTACATGAACCTGGATACAGAATTTAAAGTTACCTTACATTTATTTAGTTTTGTGAATGTTGAATATCAAATTTTCAATGTTTCAGTAAGTTATAAATGAATAATAAAAGGTTAAAATGCGATCTCTCTGAGGAATACATCTCACATATTTTACATATATCTAACCACTAGGTTTTGTAATAAAGTTCTCAGGGCATTTCAGGCAGCATGGAGATGGCCAAGCTGATGTTGGTAGATATAGATCTCCGTACAACCCCAACTAGGGTACAAACCACACAGAAGTCTGGTCTCAGATTTCAGACTGCACTTGGTCATATTGTCTCCAAGAAAGAGTAAGTTCCAAAAGCTATACTAGAATACTGTGCTTCTATTTGAGGAGGCATATTAGAGATAAGTCATTAGTTTAGGACTCTTCTAGGTCCTCAGTTTTTTAGGGAAGGTCCTCACTCCCATCCTGATCACTGTCCCTGGTATGAGCCACATGGGTACAGACTCTTCAAGATACCAAAAAGGCTGAAGAACACATTCTGAGGCAAAATCCTTTAAAACTTTAGTTAAAACAGTAGCTGTAAGATGTCCATCATTTACATAACAAACTTATTGAATTCTGTTTTGTAGTATTTTGAATAGAAATATTAACAAGGCATTGCCTATGTAAGTGAAACCTACAAACAACTCTAATGAGGTGATAAAAACTATGAGAAAATTAGGAATAAAAACACAAAATATAGATAAAGAAGCAATTGAGTATTGTGCAAGGAAGGAGAGAGGAAAGAGGTCAGGGAAAACTTCAGAGTTGGTGCCAAGTGAGATGGGCATTATGAAGTGTTCCCCTTCCTCCTTGTTCTTCTCCTCATCATCCTCTTCTTCCCTCTTTAGACTTTATTTTTTTAGAGCAATTTTAGATTCACAGCAAATATAGCAGAAAGGGCGAAGTTCTCATATGCCCTCTGACACTACCACACACACACCACCTCCCCCACTGTCTAAATTCAGCATCAGATTGGGACATATGTTATAACTGATGAACCTACATAGACAAATCAGTATCATCCCACATCTGTAGTTTATATTGTGATTCATTCTTGGTGTCATGTGTCATACACTCTTTGGGTTTTGTTCAACATATAATGACATGTGTTCACCATTGTAGTATCATACAGAGTATTTTCACTGGCCTAAAATCTTGTGTGCTCTTCATTTCATTCTCCACCCTAACATCAGGCAACCATTGATTTTTTTACTGTCCCCTGAGTTTTTTCATTTCCTGAGTTTTCTCTAGGTGGGCTCTGTAGCCCTTTCAGATTGGCTTCTTTCACTTAGTAATATGCATTAAGATTCCTCCATGCCTTTTCATGGCTTAATAGCTCATTGCTTTTAATGCTAAATAATATTGCCGCATCTCGGTGTACCACAGTCCATTTATCCACTGACCTTGGACATCTTGGTTGATTGCCAGATTTGGCAACTATGAAAAAAGCTCCTATAAACTTTCCCATTTTTTAGTTTACTTTATAGAGACATAATTCACATACCATACAATTCACATATTAAAAGTGTAAATTCAATGGATTTTTCTATATTCACAAAGTTGCGCATCTATTACCACAAATTTAAAACACTTTCACCACTATAAAGGAACTCTGTTCCATTTAGCCTTTAGACTTCTGTCTTCTTATTTCCCCCAGCTCTAGGTTACCACTGTTCTACTTTCTCTGTAGATGTGTCAATTCCAAACATTTCATGCAAATGGAATCATACAATATATGGCTCTTTGTATCTGGCTTTTCAGTTAGCATGTTTTTAATATTTGTTTCCATTGTAGCACACAGAACTATTTCATTTCTTTTTATAGAAAATATTTCATTGCATAGGTATACCCAATTTTGTTTAAAGATTAAGCAGCTGAAAATGTTTCTACTATTTGCCTATTATGAATATAGCTGATATAAACATTTGGGTACATGTTTTGGTGAAGATGTATGTTTTTATTTCTTGCTTATTTATTTTTACACTTAAAGTTGTACTTTGTTAAAGCTCGTTGCTTTGTGAAATACAGGTAGTATGACCATTGGACGCTCTAGGAAATTAGATCTTTGGGGACTAAATGCAGATTTTATTAAAAATCTGGGTCATCAATTTGCCATCCTGCCAATACTCTCAAAATTAGCCCTTGAATTAGCAGGAGTGATGGTGATGTGTGATGCTTAACACTTAAAAATAATGAATCCATTAAATTATCTTGGTCCTATTCTTACAATGTCAGGAAAGACTGTGGGTAGAGAGGAAGTGCAATGAGCAAACCTGTGACAGTATATATCTGGTCACAATAAAACACAAGGTATGTGCCTAAGGATGAAAGTAGCAAAAATTTAGGTTATAAAAATAGAGGGGACTGAATTGTGGGAGACACTGAATGACAGTTTAAGAAGCTTGATTTGAACTTTGTACTGAGGGCAGTGGGAAGCTAACATTTTCACAACCAGAAGAAAGGCATACCCACATCTGTGTTAGAAGATGACTGGCCAAAAAAAAAAAAAAAAAGATGAGACTGCGAACTCATGGAGAAATATGCAAATTAATCACTATGTCACATAGGACTCTTTCTCTTGCAGATGACAGAAAACCAGATGAATTCTGGCTTCAGCCAATATTATGCTTTATTGGCTTATATTTTTCCACAATACAGGAGTAGATAGAGCTTCTGGCTAGCCATCTCTTGGTTCTGCTTTCTCAGTGTTCCCAGCCCACTTCTCTTATGGTCCCAAGATGGCATACTGGCAGAAAAAAGCTGAATTGTTGTCCCAGTGTTCTCAAATAAAGTCCCAATATTCCACTGAATGAAACTAGCTCAGTCATAAGTACACCCGTGAAATAATTACTGGGAGCCAGAGGTTACTGTTAGTCAAATCTATGTCACTGCTACTCAAAGTGTGGTCCGTGGACCAATGCCTGTCTCACATTTTTTGTTATTGTCAGTAAAATGCTGAGTATATAGAAATTGAGGTTGTTTAGAAACTTTTATTGCAATTTGACAGAGTAATAAAAATTGAGGCTTGTATATTATTTGTTTCTCTCTGTGTGTCATTGTCCCAGTGATTCTTTTTTATTGTACTTTACACAGTGTCAGTCCATAGTGGACGGAGGCATGGGAGATGAAATAAACTGGTTCGTCACTACAGAAAGTCTGAGAATCGGTTGTCTAATGTCCGTGCTCCACTGTGAAGCCTGGAGTGAGTCAGCATCCTGGAAGCACACAGAGATCCCGTCCACATTAGAGGGAGCAATAACAAATGTCCACTTTCATTGTGGGACCTAATTGAAGAGGAGAGAACCCCCAGACTCACTTTAACTCTCCTGTGTTCTCGTTTTCTTCCATGTTGACCTGCTTTTTATTCACAGTCCTTGGTAAGATTTTACTCTGCTTAAGCTTTGCATATGGCCATTTTAATAGGTTAAACATTACCTGAGCATTCATCTATTCTTGCCATTGGAACTTTTATTACTAGAATCAAAGCTTTCAAATGGCTCTCCTAAGCCACTTAGAGAAAAGCAACTTTGAGCTAGACTAACAAAAGGTACTTACTAAACAGATC